AATTACCAACATGGCTCTAGCTTTTAAACAAACACACAGAGACAACAACAACAACAGGCAGTTGTAACATCTAAGATGCAACTCTAGAACAACACAGAGCAGGTCCTCCTGCTGTTTTGATGCAGCCCCCAAATAGCTATACATCGGGAGGGATGCAGGATCTTTACCACCTTGAAGCCTCCCAACCTTTCCATGCCTCCACACTGAGCAGGCCAGCTACACACCCCTCTCAACCATGAACACTGTTGCCTTATCAGAAAAGGCCTTGCTACTGAGTACTTTACCCATCCCCTGCCAGGACAGCATAGCCTTTCATGGGGACAGAAGAAAGCACTGATATTTGCCAGAGCAGAAACCACTTGGACACCAGATACAGAAAGTGTCTATGAAAACCTGTATTTTTCCTTTGCTTCTTGCTGTTGCTTTGAACTCAGATGCAGCTGGTACTGTTATAGGTTGGCCTTATTCCTCTCCCAAATCCTTCCTGTTCACCCAGAGTCTGATACTGCATTTAAATTCCTCACCCTTCCTTCCCAATTTTATATCAGCTTCCATCTAGCCATGGTGTCATAATTCTCCGTCTTTCTAAGGCATGAAATCTCCCCTATCCCCAATGTGTCAGGCACTCTCCATCTCCTCAATCTTATCCCCAGCACATAAGTACTTACAAGACAAATATCTCCCCAGCCCCCTATGTTAGAAGGAGGAGGGAAAAGAAAGAAAACTATTATATTTAAAAACAGCAAGATCCTCAGCTCGTGTAAGGTCTGTTCATGTCGATAAACTATGCTGATTTATACCACCTGATGTTCTGCTCCATGATGAGGTTCTCTCTTCCTGAACCTCCCAGTGTATTTTCATCAGTGTTGGATTTTTACATCAGTCTCTTCATCCGGGGAGAAGCTACTTCTCTCATGGACAAGGAGTCCATGAGACTCCTTAATAAACAGGCTCTTCCTAGATGTAGTCTGTAGATGTAGTCTGTGTGTGTCTACACATCACCCTGTGTCACTGTAGGGACACACTACGCCACCATACGATGTGCTACGGTGATGTAGCGATCACATACATATACATGTGACCAGCAGCTACTTTGCCATAGAGCCCCCCTCCCCATTTTAGTGTGCCGCTATGGTGAAGTAGCAGCTAAAACTAATCATGCACTGCATACATGGCGCAGTAGTTACTTTCAAAAGTAAGTACTAAAGCACAGCACAGTAACATCACTGTAGGGCAAGATGTAGATCCGTCCTATATTAATGTGAAAGAACCAATGGAAAGCAGCTTTAGGTGGGCCTATAGCAGGAGAAGGATCAGGGCCTGCTGTGCTGGACAAGTTTCACTCCAAACATAGAGGGTGCAGTCCTGATTATAGTGAGGCTAATGGTGGAACTGTGCTATTAAGTTTCAACAAGCATTAGGTTTTTACCTATTGAAAAGACAAATTTGCCTTTGTTGGGAGGAGGGGAACCACAGGTCCCTTTGAGGCTGCAACAGAACTGCAAAATTAAAAATAGGTGTAAATAAATAATTGTAAGTGTTACAACCAAATGAAGACAAGCAATTAGCTAAAAAATTTAGAGAGAAAGCATTTTGCAAATACACAGGTGGTTCATATGAACCAGAATATTCAGTCCATGGATTCAATGTTTATTGCAATCATCACAAACGTTACTCCCAAAGTGATCCCAACCAGCAGGGAGTAGGACCTAAAGAGAAAGACAAATGCTACATGACAGACATTCCAAATTCTGACGCAGTTGTCACAATGCAACAGTGACAATAGTGCATTAGTAGCAACGGCATTTCCTGGGTGCATTCAGATGCACAATTAAAATTTAAATATAGGTTGTTGCCCATCCTGGCAGCAGATGGGGAGGAGCTAAGCTTGCTAGCAATAAAACCACACAGTTTGCCTGGTCAGGGAGGTAGTAAAAGGGCATGTTACGCTAATATAATTAGCTTTCCAACTGAGACCCTTAAATAAGCCTATATATAGTACAGACTTTGGCAGAGTTTGTATGAGCACACAAAGGTGATAAAAAACAAACCGCTTCAGCCATCTTAAAATGAGAAGAATGTGGTAGTAAATCTTACAAGAGGAAGACAGAGCTAGTGAGGTGAGAAGTGACTTTATCTATAGCAGTGGTCTCCAACCTTTTTTTGGGTAGGAGATTATTTTTTTTTTTTTAAATTAAGAAAAGTCAACCCAAAAAATCTACCTTGTGCCACTGCCCTCCCCCTTGCAGGTCAGTCTGTGGGGAGAGAAGGTGGGGGGCAGACTGAGGTGGAGAGAGAAAAATTATCTGGGGTTGCACCTCCCCAGCAGGTAAGTCTGTGGTGGAAAGGGCAGGGCAAATAGAGGTGAGGGAGGGAACGGGGCACAGGCAGAAGCAGGGGCTGGGGCCCTGGCAGGTCTGGGTGGTGGGAGAAGCAGTGGCCCAGGGAGCACATGTCCCCCAGGCCTCCACTTCTCCCCCAGTCTCCCCAGCTCCCGCTCTTGCCCGTGTTCCCTCCCTCGCTCACCTCTGGGGCCTCAATCTACTCAATCCCCAGCAGTGGCTGAAGGAATGGCGCTGGGACAGGCACTGCATAGCTGGGTTGTGGCCACAAGCAGCTCCTCCAGGGGAGCTGCAGGCATGCAGCCCAGAAGGGCATTGGGGGCATGTGCCCCCAGTTCTGCCCACAGGGCAGGGCAAGCTGCAGGCTGGGTCCTGGGCAGCTCCAGGCTCTTCTCAGTGCAGGGGTTCGTGCCAGGCAGCAGCACTAGGAGTGGGTTGGTGGGGGCCATGGTAAATTTTTGGGTGCCTGCAGCTTCCCCCATAGCCCTGCTCCCAGCTCTGCTTCCATTCCCTGGCCCAAACACACATGCTGGGAAGACCCCGGTGCTGCCCCGGCCTCAGCCTGCCCTGTGGGCAGAACCGGGGACATGCGCCCCCCCCCCATGCCCTCTTGGGCTGTGTGCTCCTCCTTACCATGCCTCCTGGATGAGCTGCTCGTGGCTCCATCCTGTGCTGCGCCCTGTCTGTGCAGCACCTGCACCAGCCCCACTCCCCACACTCACTGCTGCATGCATGTCCCTCCCCACTCCTGCTGCAGCTGCGGTGACAGGGGGTGTGGAGAGGGATTGTCCCACTCACCCAACCCAGCCCTGGCAACAGGGCAGTGGCAATGCATAGGGGGTCCGTGGGGGTGCACATGCACCCCCTGAAAATGTTGGTGTACCCCCTGCCCTGGACAGGCAACGCTCCCCACTTAGGTGACAGGCAGGGGGGGCAGGTGGGAGCACCAGTGCCCCCCTGTGAGCGCCAGTCAGGGAGTGAGGGCGCCAGGTGAAGAGCTGCTGACATTTCCAGGAGCACCACTCATGCTTCCCGACTGGTGCGATTGGCTGCAGAGGGAACCCCACCACTCTGGTTGGTGCAACTGGCCACAGGGGGACCCCTTTCCCCCCTGTTGCTGACTGGCATGTGCCCCCCCGACTCAGGTGGCACCAATCACCCATGCAACAGGGGGAGAGGCTCAGCCCAGCCACATGCGTCCCGCTGCTCCCAGACTGTGTCCCAGCCCCTCCCAATCATGAAGCCTCTGACAGTCGATCTCAGTCTGTGGGGGCTAGCCCTCCCAGACTGAGATCGACTGTCAGGGGCTCCCCAATCGACCAGTCAATTGTGATCAACCAGTTGGTGACCACTGATCTATAGATTAATCCAACAAGGGGATAATGTTCAAGCTTTTGGGAATGGCAAGAGAAAGCCTTTCATAACCTGGCAGCAGCTTATGCAGAAGGTGTGAATTAAAATGATAGGACACAAGAGGAAAGAAAGGGCAATGCTCCTTTACCTACAAGCTATGTCCATACAAGATTGTGAGTAGACAGGACCCATCTTGGACACTGGTATCAAAGTGGTCCTTTCTAGCAGCTCAGAACAAGCTAAAACATTGCATGCGGTAGTCTAGGTTATCATCTGCTCCTTTTACTCCCAAGGCTCCTTACCCACAGTTAAAATAATCCTTCACTGAACAAATAGAGGAAAACCCTTCTAGAGGCTACTGCCCTGTCTAAAGACACCTGTATGCTGCCACTCAATGAAATCCTCTTCTCTCAGATCAGTGCAAGTCACTTTAGAGCTTTTGGCCACTCACATAAGCTGCTGACAAGGAACATGGGCCCCTTTACTTGTAAATGCTTGTGTACTCAACATTTGTGGGGTGGCCCAATAAGTATCACTTTTCTCAATCCTCGTCTAGAGTTACTTAAGTCTCATGTTCTGTTTATGTAATGGAACCAACAACTTCACCTACCTTTAAAGAAAAAAAGAAAAAAAAAAAATCAAACTACTTGGGGAAGTGCATCAGTCACAGTGGCTTGGTACAAATTGTTCGCAAAGTAACAGACACACACACACACACACACACACACTAAAACAACAAAAACAAAACAACCCCCCCCCCCCCCCCAAAAACAACCAGAAATGTAGGTACTTAATAAAAAAAAAAAAAATTTCAAGTTAAAACCAGGACTGGAGTTCATAATCCTCAAGCAATTCCTCCCCCTAGAGAGGGAATGGATTGTTGTTTTATCATACTCAGAATAACCAAGTGACATTTGTCATTTTAGTTATATAAAGAGGATAATGCTCACTACCAAAAAAGGTTCCCAATAGTTGCAGAATGGGGGAGGGGAGAGAGAAACAAAGTGAAACATTATTAAAGTGATCTGAAATACTGTGGGGAGATGCACCTGATGATGCATATGGCTATAATATAAGCAACACAAGTGACCAGAGGATTCCTTCAGTGCAGGAGCAGTGCAGGGCACATTTAATCAGGCTTATGCTGCCACTTTCTCAGAAATTAGGGAACACATCAAGGTGGGAGGCATCTTTGCTGCACATGGCATCCTATGGAGGTTCTGGGCTCAGCCCCCACCTCCCTGAGAAAGCCATCTTAAATTACAATAACTATGAGGGCAATTTAAATTTATCCTGGAGACTAGCCTGACCCTGCCCCTTACCCCCTGCAAGCCAGCCCAGAATTCAGCTAAAGTATAGTTGGCTTAAAGCCACCTGTGCCCATCTCCCCCTGGGTCTCTGCATTTTGTGGTATTCTTCTTGGCAGGTTCAGAACCCAACTAAGTCCCATGCTCTTCAAATAGCAAGCCTATGGTAATCAGAGGCAAAAGCCCATAACTAAATTCCAGTCTCCTTGACTAGGGACAGGAACAGGCCATTGTCAAATATATCTACCTGCATTTCTCAAACACGGGATGAAAAGCAGTCCTTTCATTTACAAAAAGTCTAAGGCTTAGGACTCGACATTAGAATTTCTTGTGCTTCCAGTAGCCGGGGAAGAAATTCCATTTCCTCTACCCATCGAACCCCAGCTCTGAAAGATGGCAAGGAGACAACAGGAATGAAGGTATGTGCCAAGTCTTGCAGAATCAGGTCTTACACAAGGTTATTAACTATGGCAGGATACACACAGAGCCCTGAATTCAAGTCCTGGCAAGTAAAAATACCTTTCAGTTCAGTATTGGGACAGATTTATTAAGAAATCTGTGTTACCCACTATTGGGGAAGGTTGTGGAGTTGCACTCCCTTTTTCATGGAATTTGATATTTAAAGCAGTATTTCAATTCACCTTTCGGTTTATCATTCTACATAGAATTTTATCAGCAAGACATCAGCAGAGTCTCTAGGGGGGATTTCTTGAGCAGGTTGGCTCCACTCTCATGGAAGCAGCATTTAAGTACCAAACAATAGCTATGAAGTAGACAGAGGACTGTACAATGTTTTGTGGACAGATGCTACCATCTCTTAAGAACTTGACCCAGTTTTAGCTTTCAATTTTTTTTTTTTTTAAATGGTACCTAGCTGCAAATTGGACAGATAAGGATTAAAACAAGAGAGTCAGATCAGCCAGCTATAAAAGGGAGGTCAGAAAAATGGCATAGATTTGCCATTTGCAGCAAGAAGTTCCTGTCTCAAAGCCCAAATGATGCTCTTTGGTTTCATAAAAATCTACAAGATGGGATTCAGCTGGGGGCTGTGTCAGTACTAGGGTGAGAAGTGTGGAGGCCTGGCCTTGAAAAAGCATTTGAAGCTACCTTCACGATGCAGGTGTATACCCTCGGTTACCACAATGCCTCTTTCCTTTCCAACACCACCAGTTTCAGTTTCTCTTTATGGTGGAACGCTAAAAATGCTGATGTTCTTGACAGTACACATCCTGCCAAACTCCAAAAGCTTTAGGTAGATTCTGCCCAGAGTTTCACCCCACATCCTAGTGGGTTTGCATAAAGGCTGAACTGGGCCCCTGACACATCATATTCTACTCATGCGGACTCTTGGTGGAAAAGTCATCTGCCACTCCAGTTTGTTCGAATTCAGGCCATCAGAATAGGCCCCTTCCCTATACGCAGCAGGAGCCAAGAGAAGGAAGAAGATCCCCTTCTCCCTCCAGAAACCACAAGGCTGGGTTGAGTTCTCTGCGAGATGCAAGAAGTTTCATCCCCGAGTACAATATAAAACAAAAATGCAACCCCAGTCATTACCATCCCACAGTCCGAGGCAGGACGAAAGAGATTTTTTTAGTGTAATCCCCTCTACTTGTTGGTGCACTCGGAGGGATAGGGCTCCATTTTATGAGTTAGGAATGACAAGAAAAAGAGAAGGGGGAAAAAAAATTAAAAATAAATGAGGCAGAGAGAAAGAGGGGGATTCATTTCCTTCACAGAAAACAGAATGGTACCCAAGGCGAAAGCAGTGCAACACCACACAAGAAACCTTACAGGAGACAGAAAGTGGCATTTAACAGTGACACCCTTGCAGCCCCAAGTACTGTGCTGAGAGCAATGTAGTACCTCCACTGACAATGATTCTGGAAAGTAATGATCAAAAAAAAAAAAAGCAAAAAAAAAAAAAAAATTTTTTTTTTTAAATAAAAATCTTGGAACATTTCCAAAAAGAGACAAGAGAACCCAGACCATTCCCATGGTATCAGCAAATCCATCCCCAAAGCCTGTGTTCTCTCCATTGTTTCCAGCAGCAACATAACAGCCATTGTCCAGTTTAGGGCGCATGGCTCTTCTCCCACGGAAGGATCCTTCCTAGCCGACAGATGTGCAGTTCAGTTCTGTAGACTCTTGCCTGTCCACAGTGACCAGTCCTTCTGGCCCGTCAGCAATACTAGGCTCACTGGAGCACTGACGGTGGCTGAAGCTGGGCTGAAGGAGGAGACAGTTATCACTGCTATCCGATTCTTCTATTACCATCCCTGTGTGCATCATGGAGGCCATGGCCAGAAGCTGAATATCTGAGTGGGCATTGGCAACAGTATGGCGACGGATACTGCCACATTTTTCCAGGTAAGCCTCGCCCTCCTGTTCTGCGAGTGGTGTCAGAGCCATTTCGCTGGGCTGCCGACCAGTCATCATGTGGGAGTTGTAGCTCAGCATACCAGTCTTAGCACAGGATCTGGAATATCGCCTCTCTAGAAGACAGAAAGGAAGCAGGAAAGGTAATCCCAACATGGACAAAACCCCCTGCTGAATTTGCCAGGCCTGTCTCGAGGTCATGTGCAAGTGAAAGCAGCAGAGCTGTTGCCTCCTGCTGGGGAAGTGGGGCTAAAACAGGTCTCAATGCTCCCCTCCCCCACAATTATCAGAGATAAGTAGCCATGTTAGTCTGAAGTTAAGCAGAAGGCGAGGTAGAGGTGCACCTTATAGACTGACTGAATCGGAGATGCATAAGCTTTTGTGAGCCAAAGCTAACTTCATCAGAAGCTGTGACCCTTCTGCCAGGCATGGGTGGGGGGGGGTCATCCCTTTGCTCTAGAAAATGCTCTGCCATGAGAAGTCAATGCAAAGCATCCTACACTTACACCACAAGCAGAGGCAAGGGCAGGCACATGTTCAAGGAAGAAACCATTTTCCCAGGTGTTACATGCCCCTGTGGTGCCAGAACCATCCTAGTGCATGTTATACCATACTTGCCCACTATCAACATGTATCCACTTTTGCAGCAGGGATCAGAAAGCATCCAACACTCCATAGCAACACTGAACAACAGTTTAAAACAGGAGGTAAAGAAGGAGACTGTGTGTTTAGAACTCCTGGGGCAATTTAGCAAGACAGGATGGTATTACTGGCCTGGACTCAGGTTCAAAGCCTGCAAAATAATCAAGGAGTACTCCATTACCAAAATGCACCCCCCAGCAGTCTGGGGCATGGATTCAAATTGACTCAGCTACTTTTAGGACAAACAGGGATCTTAACTTGTGTCCTGGCTCATTGCCATTCAGGTAATATCATACTGCATTAACTACATTCCTTCAGCAAGTCTTAAGTGAACCCAGTGTTATTCTTCACCTCCTACCCTTAACTGTTGTGCAATGGTGCTGTTGTATGTATTGAACACCTGTTGGTTTTCTACCCCAGAAGTAACTGCATTTCAAAAGCACATAAAGCCATTCCCTGTAACTTTCTTACCCTTTCCTATGAGTGCTGAGGAGTGAGGATCCATTAATATTTAGAAAGTGCTTTTGAGACGTTATAAAATCCTCCCACCTGAAAATAGCAAAGCATGAGGCAAAGAATAACAAAATGCAAAGCACTGATGGCTATGAAACACTCTTGGAAGCTTGCACTAGTAAGAAAGGCAGAAAACAAACTCTATATTGTTACAAGGAGGGATGGATGAGCAGCCAAAAATCCACTACTGGCAGCAGCCAGGTTATGACAACACTTTACCCTGCTGCTGCCAGTAACATTCATTTGGAAAGGTTCATTTTGTGCTTAAAAGAATGTTCAAATTCGTTTTAGGCATGTTATGGGCAAATAAGTGTGTTTTTTTAGAAGCCGGCTCCAGCTAGCCCCACAGCAAGCTATGTTCCAAGTAAGAGAAGAAAGAAAAAAGTTATTTAAAGGTGTATCCCCGCTGGATCTTTTGCCCTGAAGCATCCCAGTATTGCTACCCATACATGCAGCTTGTTGAGGGTAACCAGAGGTGGGAGCACTAGAGTAGACAGGCCACTGCACATTGAATGGGGTTTGTTGATACAATGGTTAGAGTGCTGCAGCACTGTTGCCTGTCACTGCTGGGCTTGCACAGGCGATGGCACATTTTATTTGAAGAAAAGTTGATCTACCATAGGCAAGACCTAAAGGACACAATGGTAATTAGCAACAGCTGCCTCTTCACCATCCTTAGTATTCACAAGGGCTTCTGCTTTTCTGAATGAAGAAATGCAACCCAAGGGTTGACACAGTGGGAGAGAAAAGCCAGTGCACTAGTCCCTCAGTTTAGTAACAAGTACCGGTACTTAAATACCTGGACCCACCACTCCCATTGACTTCAATGGAATTCAAGCTTCTAAGCATCTTTAAAGGGCCTTAAATATTACTAAGTGTTAAGCCTCTCCAGTCAGAAGTCTTCAGCTCAAGAGAAGATATGGCTCAGTTGATTTTTAGAAAGTAAGCTAATCACCACCCCTAAGTTTACTGCAGAACTACAGAGGGTAGGTGTGCATTGCAGTCATTGTGGTTTGTGTAGGGATACCCCCGGTGGCTTTAAACTAGTTAGCTGCTGTTCTGCTAGCAGTCTAGAAGTGGCAGCATGGAGCAGGCTGGCTGCCCAGGTATCTACGCAGCTTCTCAGGATTTTGTAGTCCGGGCTGAGCTCTGCACTGCTGTGGTTACACAACACAGTAACTCTGCTGAGATCTAGTCACGGCTCACAAATTAAACAGTGCCAGGCCTGATCAGAATTTGAGCAGGGAGTCCTTAAACCCCCCCGCACAGAAACTGCAGGCTTGAGGGCAAATTTAACCGATCACGCGCTTCCCCATCCGGA